GGCATGGTGGCATGTGCCTGTAGTCCCAGCTACTTGGAAGGCTGAGGCAGGAGAATCGCCTGAACATGCGAGGTGGAGGTTGCAGTGAGTCGAGATGGCACCACCGCACCTCAGCCTCGGCAACAGAGTGAGACTCTGTCTCAAACAATAAAAAAAATTTAAAAATGGGGGTGGGGAGAATAGCACCTAGTCTGCCTACCCCATAGGCTATCAAGTTCAAATAACGTAACAGGAGAGAACTCAACTAAGAAATTGCTAGAAATATGTTCAGTACCTATTGCCTTATACTTCACAAAGGATTTACTGTGTAACCTAAACAGCCATCTTGCTTGATAAATTCAACAATTTCTGAACATTGTTTTGGTCCCACTTCTCAGGAATATACTAAACTACATAACATGGGAGGTGGCTGGGGCTGCCCTCAGGGTGTGCATTTTACACCCTGGGAAAGGGGATCCAGGCTGTTAAAACCCCCAGAAAGCCTGCCCAGAAAATAAATTCAGGTTAAGACCTGCTGGCCCACTTGGCGGTCAAACGAACCTCAGCCATGCAGCTAGGGACCATAGGAAACTGGTCCCAACCTTTGAGCCCCCACAAAGCTTAGGCATCTGGAGCAGCTGTTCCCACTTACAGCTCTCTCTTTGCCAAATTTCTGTTTTAAATGTATTCTAACAGACAAATGAGTTTGATTGGCAGATGTATTTACTACTCTCCCAGGAACATGTGAATAAAGAGGAATCTAGAGTGATATCTAAAAAATCTAGAACTATAAACTGGAATATTGTATTTCAAGCAGGTAGAAGTCTTCTACTTATAGCAGGCCTGGGGTCTATCACAGGAAGCCAGGAAGGGAGAGGAATTCTCCCCATTGTGCAGTGGCTGGAAGGAAGATCTCACATAATGATACTACATCATACATGATACGGCACACTTCACCAAGCCTAAACAAAGGGAGGACGGGTCAGTCTAACACGTCATTCATTCTATTTAAATGCCATTATGAAAGGCAGTCCATTTGAAAAGCTTATTTCCATCTCTGACGGTCCATATTTCATAAAGCAAGGCAGTGAATTCTGCTGAGCAGAGAAACCTTGTGTAAGTTGGTCTCTCAATGCTTCACTCTTTTCATAACCAATCAATATAATCAAATGTAATTAGAGTATCTGGCACAGAGCCTAGTATATACCACATGCTCAATAAATGCTGGTCTCTCTTCTTCTTTTGTCCCAAATTAAATTGTTTTCTTCCCTGATAATGAGACAAAAGTAGGGTAATTCTTCTAAAAATACAACCATCTCATACAAAATTCAAATATATGAGAATTTCAGATATAGCAAACTCAAACAGCAAATTTTATTTTTGTTGAAAAAAACAATTTAAAGAGGGAAATGGGGATGTTGAAACATGAAAAAAAGAGTTAAGACAGCTTGTGAAATAAGGAGTGGAGCTTTCAGCAATGACCATTAGAAAAAGGCTTTTCTCCAAACACCGCATGCTCTCACTCATAAGTGGGAGTTGAACAATGAGAACACATGGACACAGAGAAGGGAATATCACACAGCGGGGCCTGTCAGGGGGTGGGGATTGAGGGGAGGGGGAGAATTAGGACAAATACCTAATCCAAATGGGGCTTAAAACCTAGATGACGGGTTGATAGGTGCAGCAAACCACCATGGCACATGTACATCTATGTACACGTTCTGTACATTTATCCCAGAGCTTAAAATAAAAAAAGAAAAAGGTTTTTCCTTTAAATAATGGAAATTAAGGAAGTATTATTGAATAAGGACCTTTTAAATAAAAGTGTGACCTCTTACCATTATGCAGTTCGGGAACATAATCCTCAAAATTTAGACTTACTGCATATTTAAATTTATCCATCATCTATTATTCCCATCTCAATAGACAAGAGAGTTAGAACACTTGGAGATGTCTAGTACCAGTTACCATGAAGTTACAGAGGTGACGGGCAGGGCCAGAGGGCATCGTGTGGACAGGAGTTGTTGGACCCCTGCGAGAGCTCAGGGCTATACTCCTCCTGCCTGGACCACTGTGAAGCAAAATATTTTTGCTAAAAATGTATCCCTAAAGTTATGATTGCATAAAATACTGAAGTCGGGCCTGTTGTTAATAGTGTTATTTAAGTGTTCCCCAAAGTAGAGAACACAAAGTAGCACAGGTTTCTCCATGTTGGTGCTAGAATGTCAGGGCGGCAAACGGTCCCTGTGGGCAGCTCTGAATGACTGGCAAGCTCACGAGTGACCAAGTGAAAGGAAGTGGAAACAACCAGACCTAGCTCCAGGGAGCAAGGGGCCAGGAGGTGAGGGGGAGGTCTTTCAGAGACCACAGTCACTCAAAAGAAATGAGAGAATCTTCCTTTTTCTGGTAGGAGATCAAGTTCAACAGCTTTTAAAATAACACAGGTCAGCCAGAAATGCTGGCACCTGCAATTCCAGCACTTTCAGAGACTGAGGCAGGAGGACTGCTTGAGCCCAGGAGTTCAAGACCAGCCTGAGCAACATAGCAAGATCCCAGTCTATACAAAAAAAATTTTTTTAATTAGCTGGATGTGATGGCACAAGTCTGTAGGCCCAGCTACCCAGGAGGCTGAGGTGAGAAAATCACTTGAGCCCAGGAATTGAATGCCGCACTGAGCTATGACTGTGCCACTGCACTCCAGCCTGAGAGACGGAGAGACCCTGTCTCTAAAAATCAATCCATCAATCCATCAGTCAATCAATTGGGTCTTCAAAAGAAAGAAAAGCTTAAGAAAAACAACTTATTTGCCGGTAGGAATGTAAAATAGTGCAGCTGTTATGGAAAGCAGTATGGCGATTCCTCAAAAAACTAAACACAATTACCATATGATCCAGCAATTTTACCTCTGGGAATAGACATAAGAAATGGAAGAAGGAGTTGAAGACAGATGTGCATACCCACGTTCATAACAGCATTATTCATAACAGCCAAGGGGTGAAAGCAACCTAAGCATCCATCAGTGGATGAACGCATAAGTAAAATGTGGCATCTACACACACAATAGATATTATTCAGCCTTAAAATGCAAGAAATTTTGCATATGCTACAACGTGGATGAAATTTGTGGACTCTGTGGTAAGTAAAATAAACCAGATACAAAAGGACAAATGTTGCACGATTCCATTTAGATGAGTTACTTAGAATAGTCAAATTTATAGAAACAGAAAGTAGCATGGTAGTTGCCAGGGACTGGGAGAAGGAAAATGAGGAGTTCGTGTTTAATGGGGTCAGAGTGATAGTTTGGGAGGATAACAAAGTTCTGGAGAAGAATGGTGATGATGGTTGCACAGCAATGTGAATGTTCCTAGTATCAATGTGATGTGTTCACTTAAAAATAGTTAAGATGATAAATTTTATGTTACAGATATCTTACTATATTTTTACAAAATAGAAAACCAATTTGCTGGGCATTGTTTTCTAATCACTTCTAAAAACAGGTGAAGTGTAAGACCAGAGAAAAAAGGAGGGTGACTGGTCTTTTCTCCTCCTCTCTCCCATGGCCTCTCAGTCCCTCACAAAGGAAAGCTAAGCTACAGGATCTATCCCTGTTGTTAAGTAATGAATGACTGTGCTGTACTTCCTGGAAAAACCCTTCCAACTATATATCATCACAGAAAAAAGATAGGTGAGATTTAAATTTCTGATTCATAGACAACTTCCACTACTTTCATTGACAGCCATGAAATGAATAAACAAACAATGTACAAGGTCCAACTGACCCCTCAGCTGAGGAAGCTGCCAGAAATGGCAACTTAAATTACTGTTATAGGAGGTCATGGAGCAAAACCGTGGTTTCGGAGGGAACTCAGTTCTTTAAAGAAAAGCCAATAAATCCATAAAAGCGAATGCTATATCAAACGTAAGAAGCTGCCAAAGAGCACATCTCTTGGCAAAGCTGTCGAGCATCAGTGAACACATCTGGAAGGGCTGATGGCACCAAGGATCACGTGAGCGCAGGAATCACCCATGGCCCCACTGTAAATTAGACACTGGATGAAGAACAAGGAAGCAGGACAAACTCAAAGGCATAATGAAGTCAGAACTCAGGGACCTCTTCTTGGCCTCCACCAGCCATTCCCAAGGAAATTCTACTTTAGGCAGACATCTGAAAAGATCATTTAATGGCAGGGTATACCAACTTTAAACAATAAAAGAGATATAAAGTATAACTCGCATACAAATGCACCCTTGAAACCGTTCATGTTTTTCACATATGGAGTTATGGCTGTTGAAAAGTTGTTCTGACATGCAAAGAGATTAAAATTCAGATTCTATATACATCAATTACTTGTATCTTACATTTTAGCAGCTGACTGTTTTCAGTCTTTTACTGTCATTGTGGCAGTATAGAAATGCTGTCTCAACAGAAGAAACATTCCTTGAGGGCAAAGAGGAAAACATAAAACATACATAAGATTTGAATTTGACATTTTAAAAACTATTGTAATTTGGTGAGATTTTCAATTAGATTAATCAAAAGTAATAATGATACTAATGTGGTTACCTCTCTAAAATACAGGAAGGAAAGTGCAATTTTTAAAAATAGTCCTATGTTTTTTTAAAAGCAGTGTAAAAAGACCCCAAAAAAAAAAATATGCACTTGCTTGTCCTGGCTTATAGTCAGGTTAAAAGGAACTAGACATTCCATATTTCCCTGTTTATAGAAGCTCATAAAACTTACATTCTTTAGCTGATTCCTTACAAGGTTTTAATTTCTTTTCACAAAGATAAAATTCTGAACCTTCCCAAGACTCTCTTTTATATGCAGACAATTGAGTTATGGCTTAACTGTAACCATGTTTTAAAAGAGTGTTACTTCAATCAAACAGTCCCTGATGCTTATGTGAATTTAACTAGGTCAAAGAAGTGGGAAAATTTAGGAGAAACTATCCTCCACATAAGAACTGGACAGATTACAATTATTGCTATCCCTCCTTGTCAATTAAAAAGAGGTAGGTGCTTGCTTCAGCGTACATATACTATTATAAAATTAGAATGATAAAGAGAAAGACTAGTATGGTCCCTGCACAAGGATAACAACACAAATTCATGAAGCATTCCATATTAAAAAGAAAACAACAACAAAAACAGAACAGATAAGACAAAAAAGATGGACAATAACCAAGTAAAGAGTCACTGGGGAAATGCAAATCAAAACTACAATGAGATATCACTTCACACCCACTAGATGGCTAAAATCCAAAAGACAAGTATTGGTGTAGCAACTGGATTGGTGTACCAATTCAACTGGCTTTGCTAATCAAAATAACAGGTATTGGTAAGGATATGTTGAAACTAGAACCCTCACACACTGCTGATGGAAAGGTAAAACAGGGCAGCCACTTTGGAAAATAGTCTGGCTGTTCTTTAAATGGTTAAACACAGGTTACCATATGATCCAGCAATCCCACTCCGAGATACCCAAAAACATTGAAAATATATGTTCCCGCAAAAACTTATACATGAATGCTCTTAACAGCACTGTTCTTAATAAACAAAAATTGGAAATAACACAAATGTCCATGAACCGATAAACAACTGTAGAATACAATGAAATATTATACACCAATTTTAAAAGATGAAAACCCACAAGATGGGTGACTCTTGAAAACATTATGCTAAGTGAAAGAAGCTAGAAATAAGGACCACATAGTGCATGAATCCACTGCTATGAAATGTCCAGAACAGGCAAATCTCTAGAGACAGCAGATTAACAATTTCCTAGGGCTAGGGAGTTGGGTGGGGCAGAGTTCTGGGGTGATGGCTAAGGGGTCCACTGTTCCTTTAAGAAGTAATAAAAATGTTCTAAAATTGACTATGGTGATGGATGCACAACTCTGAATACACTGAAAACCACTGAACATCTTAAATGGATGAATCATATGATGTATTAATCATATCCTGATAAAGGTGCTTCTTTAAAAAACAAGACTGGACATATCAAAGGGTATATCTATCCAAAGTGGAATTTCTCTTGAAAGTACCCTAACTTCAATACAGTTATCTTTCCAAAACATATCACTACCCCTAACACAGCAAATGCCCAGAAGCACTCCCAGCACTTCGTATGTAGAAGAGAGGACAGCTAAGAATGGCTAAGATGATTTCTTCACCAACGGCCAGTTAAAGCTATTCTGCTTTAAATTTAAAGAGCACTTAAGGGAAACCTTTTGTCTGATCAATAACTTTGGCTTATTTATTATGTTAGGCAAGATCTGGACCCAAGGGCCAAGCCATCTATCCCAATTCATTCAAAGAAATTTATTTTGCAGATATTTTCCCACAAATTTTTCATCTCTGCTTTAACCACAAAGCTCTCAAGATCCAACAAAAAAAATAACAATTGGAGAAAAAGTCAGAGGAGGGATGGAAAAAGGTTAACAGGGAATATGAAATTTTATTCAAATTTTAAAATCGGCTCTATTTAGGTCAGTCTAGTCATCTCAACAATGCAGATTTAGATTTTAAATGTAAAACCTAAAGATAAACATTACATAAAGAGCACAGTGCAGAGTACCTCTTGGTTTAACAGTATGTTACATGGGAATGAATTCCTGCTATATTCATATACTGAGGACAGAACTGAGTCACATGGCCTCATTTAATCTTTTTTTTTTTTTTTTCTTTTTTTTTTGAGACAGAGCATTACTTTGTTACCCAGGCTGGAGTACAGTGGTACAATCTAGGCTCACTGCAACCTTCCCAGGTTCAGGCGATTCTCCTGCCTCAGCCTCCAAAGTAGCTGGAACTACAGCTGGAACCACACCACCATGCCCAGCTAATTTTTATATTTTTTAGTAGAGATGGGATTTCACCATATTGGCCAGGCTGGTCTTGAACTCCTGACCTCACAATCCACCTGCCTCAGCCCCCTAAAGTGCTGGGATTACAGGCATGAGCTACCGCGCCCAGCCTCATTTAATCTAAACAACCCTCAAAGTTCAATTTTACAGGTGATCCCACTCATGATGGCCATCTTAGGACCTTGTTCCAATGAAACAAGATTTCAACAGAAGCCCATCCTCATGCCCACTAAAGGGCTGCAGCCAATGCGAACACCACATGGAGTTCTGAAAAATCAACATATTAAACCACCAGAGGCTGCTGCTAAGGGAACCACAAGGTTGTATGTCTCTTTAAACCTCTAGCTTTCAAAGTATTGTTACCATAAACATACTGAGAAATGCATTGTAAATCATGGCATGGTAAATGTGTATAACAATATTTCCAAAAATGCAATTGCAATTACAACCTGTGTCATACAATGCTATTTGCTATTCCAGCCTCTCTGGTCTATTACAGTTCATTGGAAGGAAGAGAGGGAGGGAGGAAAGTGGAATAACTCACGGAACTGTTTTCAAGACCACTCGTGGCTCATGGCCTGCAATTTGAAAACCACTGCATGTACCAGTTCTGAGCATCCCTCAGCACTTGGAATCCACTAGTCTCACTACATATCCCATCATCCACAAGCAGGTGACCCCGTGGAAGAATGGTGCAGCCTACTGAAGACAACAGTCACAAGGCAACATTCTGAAAGATGGAGTTCTGTCTCACACAACACAGTACACACTTTGACTCATCTGTCTCCCCAAAGTAAGAAGATACTGGTCTAGGAATCAATAGGACAAGTAGGAGTGGCCCCTCTCACCATTACCCTAATAACCCACTCCAAAAATTTCTGTTTTTCACCCCTGCTAGTACAGAGGACCTGGTTTTAAGGGAGCTATAAAAGGGAGGCAGGAATGTTTCCTGTGAACTGGAAGGTGAGACTGCCACTGAGTCATTCTGGGCTCCTCAGCCACTAAGCCAAGAGGCCAATGAGGAGGACACACTGCCAGCAGGAGTGACAGGACCCTGGGTTGCTGCCTCCCGAAGGGTCAGGAAGGACCACGGCTTCCTTCTTCAAGGCAGCTCTTAGTACTTCTATCTCCAATATAAAAGTTAATGGAAAACCACAGCAATCCAACAAAAGGCAGAACCACTGAGAATTCAGACCTTCAGGTACAGAAACCTAATCAGATGAAGTGGCTGAGTGCAAAGGAAACATGGAACAGGTAACAGGAGAAGAAAAACACAAATCTCAACTACTGCCAAGTGGCAGATATGTGTATTTCCTTCTTGCTTTTGGGGAGACAAAGAGAGAGAAAACCAATTTCTTCTCCTTCCTCTTGCATTGTATACAAGCATTATTGAAACTTACCTCTACAATTTAACTCTGGGTAACACAACATTCAAGCAGAACTTTGGCTAAATTTAAGTAAGAATTAACAAAGCCCCGCAACAGGTAATGTAACTACCTCCTAGAGATGGATACAGTAATGAGACTTTGTGACACTGCATTTTAGGGAGTTGGTGAGAAGAACGTCTTCATTTGTGTGAGAATGTTTATATTCTGTTAGATGAAAAGAAAGTAGTTTTTGTTGTGTGGAAGTTAAAACATGTTTCTGAGCATAGGTCTAGATACTCAATATTCAAAGAGGTGGGCTGGCCAATTATATGGCTATTCTCTCCCTGTTCCAACCCATATCCTTCCAAACTCAGCTTTGTAACTCTGAAAACCAGATTTCTGCTTTTCCAGTTGGCTCCCTGTTAGGCTCTGCCACCAGGGCACACTACAGGGAGACTAGCTCCTTCTTCCTGCTGGCTTTAGCTCCCAGTGCCACCCCAGCAACACTTCTTCACCAGAGCAGCAGCAGTTCCTTCTAGCGCAGCAGCTGAATCTGGCCTGCAAGTTTTCAGCACTTACAGAACTAGCCTCTTACACTCCCCTCAGAAACACCTGCACCACCACCCACTCCAGAGGTCGGGATTTCAGCTCTGTGGGGCCTCTCCACCCCATTTGCCCCCAGCCCTACAGTTGATGGCTGCTTCCTATAGCCACTACCTCCATGTTATCTTAGTGTTTGCTTTTTATCTTTTCAGTTACCTACTTACTAACAACTTTATACCTAATAACAATTCTTTATATTTAATTATGTGTAAAAATAAGTGGAATAACTTTTGTTTCCATGCTGAACACTGACTTTGTATTATATTAGTTTATATCATCAAAGAAGATATGAAAATGGCCATGAGCACATAAAAAAATGTTCAACATCCTTAGTCTATAGGAAAATGCAAATTAAAACTACAACGACATCCTGCTACATACCTACTATGATGGCTAAAATTTTAAAAGACTGATATAGTGAGTATTGGCAAGGATGTAGAGTAGGTGAAACCCTCATATACTGTTGACAAAGCCACTTTGGGAAACAGTTACCACACGACCTAGCAATTCTACTCCTAGGTATCCACCCAAGAAAAGTGAAAACACATGTCCACACAAAGACTTGTATACAAATGTTCACAGCAGCATTATTCATGACAGTCAAAAAATGAAAACAAACCAAATGGCTATCAACTGGTAAACAGATAAACAAAATGTGGTTTATCCAGACAACAGAATGGAATACACTATCTGGCAATAAAAAGGAATGAAGTACTGATACATGCTACAAGCATAGATAAATCTCAAAAGGGGCCAGATGCAAAGGCTACATATTGAGTGATTTCACTTATATAAAATGTTCAGAAAAGGCAAATCTATAGAGACAGATTAGTGGTTGCCTGGAGGTGGGGGTACAGAGAAACTGCTAATGGGCATGAGACTTCTTTCAAGAGTAATTGAAATGTTCTGAAATTAGATCATGGTGATGATTGCACAAATGTGCAAATTTACTAAAACTCATTGAATTATACATTTAAAATTCAGAATGCTGTGAAATAAAAGACTAGGAAAAACATTTCAAGAAAATCTAGTGTCATAGGCATCTGAAATAAATCACAAGACACCACAACACAGTGATATGCAAAAATGGAACATTTGTGTCTGCACATATATATAATTGCATGTAATAAATACAGCAGGCCTAAGAAGCAAGCCATGTTAGCAAATGGTTAAAGAATACGTTTCAAATGCTAAAGGACAGGTTTGGTAAGAGACATTAAAGAAATGTCCAGCTTAAGTGAAAGATGGTTTCACTGCTTCAAAACAGAACAGATGGGATAGTACCAGCATTCAGAT